AACAAATACCAGCCCTGCTATTGGGTTAACCCACCCTCTTTTCATCCAATGACCCATCTCCTGCTTTCTCCTCCATAGTCTTGACACTGTGTTGGGAGTCACAGCACACCTTTCTGCAACATCACGTGTAGAAGTGTCATCCTCGAGGATTTGCAGCTGAAATGGATCCACAGTGGTTTATGCTTCCTTACTGACTTCCCTGAAGTCTAACTGGCTTTGTCTGTCTATACTCTGATGATTGAGTGTTCCCTTATTATTTTTGCAGATGATCCTGTTAGAGGAAAAGTTAGAAGCTAACCAGGGATTTTATAAGTCATCATGAGCATGACGGCGTCTATACAGCAACACCCACTCAAGTCAAAGGTATCAATAGAAGAAGAGCTAAGTGTGATCATCTGGTGGCCGTGGATTTCTGCACAAAATTCCATCTGGTTAGGACATTTCACTAAAAGCCAAAGCAGTAAAACTGATGGAGGAAAAGCGATGGACGTTTTGAGGTTACTAATTGGAAGATGGGTCGGAGACTCTGTCAGCTGGAAAGTGTCCTGGGAGGAGACAGGTGGCTAATTTCTGTGTTTACACTCTGTCAAACAACAATATCGGATTCTTTGCAGTTTGTTTGCGGTTGACAGTTGTAGCGCTGTTGCGCAATATTGAGACGATCACAAACCTTTGTTAGTACTCAGGTAAAAACAAAGCAAAAAACTAATTCCAAAATGGTCCTGTAATGTGAGCTGTATCTGGATACGTTATCTGATTAATCACATTCTTTTCATTGGTATTCGCTTTTTCTCGCTTTTGTCATCTCGATTATGGCCACAGTTTTAATTATGTAAATAAATGAGGTGGAGTTAAGTGAACGACTTGTCAGCAAACACTCTATACATCATGGCATGATTCTGCGTGAGCTCTGGTTTTATTCCAGGGCAGAGCTGAGGCCGATGATAGTGCCTGTGCCTTTGAGAGCCTAGCTTTGGTTTATGGTATGAGGCAGCTGGAGCTTGACCGCCTCAGCCTGTGGTCTGCCTTACTTTATGGTGCTCAGGTGCACAAACATCCTGCATTAATGCATCTTTTTCCTGTATGCAGATCAGTTATTCACATACAGATTACGTGTTTATACCAAGTGTAGATGGAGAATACATCTGTGTGTGTGTGTGTGTGTGTGTGTGTGTGTGTGTGTGTGTGTGTGTGTGTGTGTGTGTGTGTGTGTGT